TTTTGCAATTTAAGAAATATGTTATTATAACAACATGCATATAGCTACAAAAACAACCAGGGAACAACTATGGAAAAAAAGAGCTTACCTAAATTTGGACGATTCAATTCCAGATAAATCAGCAGATTTTTTCAAAGCATCTTTCCACATTTGCACCTGTCTGGTATAGTTTAGTCGATGGTTAGCAAATGCATTTTCGTAACTTCCAGATTGATGTCTTACAGCTGTTGGTGCCACTTTGTAGAAAACCGGAATTACAATCCGTTCATATTTCTCTTTACATTCAACTATTTTCAGAACTTCTTCTAAACACCAACGAGAAGAAGCATAGTCTGGTGAGAAGATGATCAACGAAATGGCTGATCTTTCAATAGCTGCAACAAGTGATGGCCATATTTCTTCTCCCCTCTCAAGTTTATCATCTACAAAGCCATTTATTTTCTTCATGTCAAATGCCTCAGTCAGATGGCTAAGAAATCCGTCACGGATTTCCTTGCCTCTAAAGCTGACAAAAACATCGTACTTTATTTCAGGAACATTGCTGGCTGACATGGTTGCTCCTCTTCACCTTTCTGTTTTTGAAATAACAAACACACAAAGGAAAACAACACAGGTGACAAATAAAGAAGGAACAAATAAAAAACCAAGATTTTACGGAAGAAAAAACATAAGTCTTTCATACATGAAGTACATACTTCATGCTATGCTGGTATGTAAATATAATTATTTCCTTTCACCTACTCTCGACTAGACTAGAATATACAAAGAAAAAAAACTTTTTAAATTGGCCGGTCTAAAATGTTTTTTTAATTTATTAATAAAATAATTTTAATAATTGATAAGGTTTTTATATATTTGCATAAAACCATACATGTAAGATCTTGTGGAAGGACCCAGGAAATGCTGCATAACCTTCTCATTGTGTGCATCAATCTAAGTATCCTGAAAAGGACATTTTCTCTGTGTAGAGAGAAATCCGGCACTTGATTTAAAATTTGGATTCTTGCAAAACTTTTGTTACCGTCCATTTCTTTTTTTGCTTTTAGAATATATTAATATGCTTTGATTTTGATGTTTTGAAATAAATTAATAACTTTTTAATGTATCAAACTAAATATATTTTAAAGTCATAAAAGAAGAATAACAAAAAAACCAATAAAAAAAATCTGCACTCGTTGATATATGAGTTTTAATGTCTCAAATAAGTTTTTGCAAATCTTTACGAAACCACATAGTGTACCTTTTCAACACATGTAATGAATGATAAAATTATGAACAACAAACTAGGTAATGTTTATACATTACACTAAAAAAATCATAAAATAAGAATAAATTTCGGTGACTAAATAATCAAATATTGATCTATCCAGTAAGTAAGCTGTTTGTCACTATCCTATCTCAATGATTTATAGTGGCTGATTTGTATCAGAAATCAATGATCAATTTCATCATAGAAGTGAGTGAATAACTAATTTAGTAACTAAAACGAGTAACTGGTTCAGTAACAAAACGAGTGACTAACTTTATTAAAATCAGTGACCAATTTTCCATTAGAATGTCATGCTGATACAAATGAGAAATTCAAATGTCCATGTAAGAGTAAGATAAATTTGACCATTTGAT